AGGGAAATCTACTCTGGCACCTGGAGCACCTCCTCCTGCTCCTTCTTCACTGGCCTTGGTGTTTGCTGAGTTGTTACTCTCACGTAGTCTCACTCCTCTCTTCCAGCTGCTGTTGCACAGTAGTTTTCTCCCCTTTTTAAATATGTTATCACAGAGGCGCAACCACCATTGCTGATTGGCTTGGTTTTGGCCAGCGGTGGGTCTGTCTTGAAGCTGGCTGGCATTGGCCCTTTTCAACATGGGGGAAACTTCTGGCATCTTCTCATAGAAGCTACTTCTGCAGCCCTCCTGCTGCCAAAACCTTGCCACATGAACCCAGTACAACTGGCTTTCTTTTCTCATTACTTGTTTCATGATTATTCTGCTGTAATTTAGCAGAGGCAATAGGATGTTAATAAAAAAGATAATCTGGGGTGGTGAGGGTTGATTTCCAACTTAAAGTTGCTGAAAGTGAGACATTCCCAGAAGATTCTGTGTTAGCACCAGTCACCAACAGGTGTTTCAGAGCTTTCACAGTCCACTTCTTAGGAGCGTGCATCCTTTTAATGATTGTCTAGGCATGAATATCCTAATGAGATGCACTACTTTTGTGTTTGTTTTGTTGGGTTTTTTTTTTAATCTCTGCAGTCAGAAAATGGGCTTTGCTGGAAGCTTGCATTAAGTCCCCTTTCTCTTGGGAGGAAGTGAGTATCTGTGATGGTTGCACTTAGATGCTGATATTTTTGTTCTTAGGACTCTTTTTTGCTTTAACAATAGGGATTCTAGATTAACTTCAAAAAAGAACACAGAATATACAAGCAAAGTTGATTTCAAGATATATTTGCTTTTATGGAACACCTCAACACCAAAATATCTGAATAGTACCTGTCATGAGTATATTTTAGGCTAGTCTAATAACATCCTGTAGAAAAAAAATCTGTATCTCAGTCTTGAAATCGGTGGGTCATAAGAACTTGGAAATCGAACTGGAAAATGTCTTCGAACCTTTCTTACTTTTGTCTTATGGCTATGGAAATAAAGTTGTGAACCATGTTGCAGTTGCTTCATTATACTGTGTTTTGACTTTTCAGGAAATCTGTGTGGGAATATTAGGAAATATGGCCTGTTTCCAAGACATATGCATGTCCATTAGTAAAGATGAGAATCTGGGGTAAGTGTATATGTGCTTTATACATGCATGAGTACTGCTTTTCTGGACTTGCAATCATGAAATACATGTTTGTCGTGGATGGAGTGATGCACTTCACTCATAAGAGAGAAGCAACAATGTATTTATTGATACAAAACAGTGATGTAACAAAGTTTGTTAGTAAACGTGACAGTGGTTTAACAAGATTCGATAGCATGGTACACTTAGTTATTTACTGCATACAGGACAGGGTCAGACAAAACTGTCAGGGAGACCCTCCTGTTAAGTCACGAGATTCAGAGTGGACCCCCGTGCTTTCTAAACTCCTCCTCAGAGAGGAGTCTAGGTGCGACTGGATCCCAGACTTAGTCCCAGACTTGGTCAGTGGTTTATGTCTAAAGGATTATATGTGCACAGACAATCTAAGATATAATCTTAGTGAAGCTTCATAGTTTGGCATGCTATTAGCCACTTACTGAGGCAGCAAGGAATCTCAGCTGTGAGGAGTAACCTTGAGAGGTGTCTCTACTCAAGGGGAGATCCTGGTGTGCTGCCTGCTGCCACGCAGGAGAGCTCAAAGGGTTCTTGGGCTACTCACTATTTATGGGGTAAGATGATTGACTAAGTCATGTTTGCGTAACAACTGTAGATGTTAGTTTCTTCCAAATTTGGCTTGAGTCGGACATTGACCAGCACTGTGGTTAGGTGAGCGCTTGGCTATTCTGTTGTTATCTGTCTCCCCTGAATCCACTTTGACCAGACACATCCATCATGACTGTCACTGGTGGTTATTGCTTGAGCAGAGTTACCAGAAGAGGTCAGGTCGGGGCTAGAGGGGAAGCACGCTGTCATAATGTTATAGAAGGAACTAAATTTGCCTGCCATGCCTCATCTTCATTCATACCTCTTTGACTGACCATAGCTGTGTGGGAAGTGTTCAGTGGAAAAAAAAAAAAAAAGGGATACAGACCACTGTTCCTTTTTTTTTGTTTGTTTTCAATCGCCAGTCAAGTTATTGAATCTTTAATTTCTGAGTTTGGCAGTCTTGAAGCCTTGGTAATGCATGCACAGACAGGCAAAGCTGCTTTTAATCTCGGTACGTGGCTGCAGCTATGAAATCAATGTCTTTATAACTTTTTTTTTTAAACAAAGATTGTTTTTATTGGAGTCTAAATTGCAGTGACATGGATTTGATAGGTGGAATGTTTGGTAGATGAGGAATTGGTGGGATAGTGGCATGCAGAGGGTAGTGGTCAATGGCTCAATGTGTAGATGGAGATCAGTGATGAGTGGTGTCCCTCAGGGGTCTGTATTGGGACCAGTACTGTGTAATATCTTCATCAACAACATAGTGGGATTGAGTGCGCCCTCAGCAAATTTGCAGATGACTCCAAGCTGAGTGGTGCAGTTGACACACCTGAAGGACAGGATGCCATGCAGAGGGATTGGGACAGGCTTGAGAAGTGGGCCTGTGAACCTCATGAGGTTCAATAAGGCTAAGCACAAGGTCCTGCATCTGGGTCGGGGCAACCCCCAATAGCAAGACAGGCTGGAGGATGAAGGGATTGAGAGCAGCCCTGC